CTTCTCGATTAACTTAATTCAACAAATTCTTGGAACGATAGCGTGTGACTGTGATAGAAAAAGAGATGGTAAATCGTTGGCGGATTTGGCAGATTAGGCAGGCCGATTCTGTTATTCCTGACGTAGGCGAGAGCGCGGTTCGGGCATGAGAAGGGGATGAGAAAAGAGCGCTCGCGTTCACGCGACGCGGGGGGAACAACGTATTGGCAGGACGCGCACTCAGGAGTTAAAATCACTCGTGGCTCGCGGAAAACATTCATTTGCAAGAGCAAACATTCCTCGCTATTTATCGAGTGTCAGAGGGAATACCTGCGGCCCATTTTCGTATCGAGCGGGGCTGAAGGGACCGATGAGCGTGTGCGCGCGCGTGGAAGGAAAAGAGACGAAAAAACACGAATCGAGCGCAACAAAAACATAACTTTCCGCGATGGCGGCGCGAAGGGTGCTCGAGAAACGAGTGGTCCTTCTCTAGTATTCCATCGGTGTTATATAGCTCGTCAGATCGAATGTTTGTTTTCAGAAAAATAGACAGAAACGAGACGGGAGTATACACGCGAGCGCGTTAACGCTCGTCGAGGCAAGCCCCGCGAGCCCTCCGTTGTTGCACCACGCATTGACGAACGGCCGAAACGTCGCGTAGAATTTTTTTTTTTTTTTTTTAGTTTTTTCCCTCCTCCGGCTTTGTCCTATCTTTTATTATTCCATCCTGTAGGAGCTTTGTTTTTTAATACTTTTGTCGATCGAATCGCGAGTGCGAAACGCGCACGGGAGGGGACCGCCGACTCTCTTTCGACGAGGAATCGACGAATCTCGATTTTACTACCTTCGATTCCGAATTTATCTTGGAGTCGCGCGTAAAACGAATTCATAGAAGCATGTACATATATAGCTTTATACGTACGTCTATCGATATCTTTTTTTCCCTTTTCGAGCAAGCGCGATATTTACAGTGGTGATAAATTTTCGAATAGCTCGAACGAATACCAAGAGTCCTCATCGGTGAAAGGCTGTGCACGGTAGAAAGGATTCCACGACACCTTTTTCTTTCACGCTATCCCGCGTTTCGTTTCGTCGCCTCTCGGCAAGACGGCGGCGGCGATGTACACGAGACGCCGAACTAACTTTATTCCGTTCGATCGAACCCCCTTTTCCTTCCTTTCCACCTCTATCGCGCGGCATCCACGCGCGTTCTTTTAACGCGCGCCACACTTCGGAATCCGTCGTCTGTACCTGAATAACAGCTGGCTTATCGGAATCGTTAGGCGAAACGAAAACACCAAGACACACCAACACCAGCACCAACTTCAACCAGTTTGTTCTTTCGCGGTCGTCTGCTACTTGCAAGTCCAACACTGGCAAGGTTAAACGAGATCGTAGCAACGATAGAGACAATCGCGTTTTTGGCACCATTCGCTCCGCTGCCAGACAAATCAACGATTCATGCCGAAGCGGTTGGCCTCGGACGATCGTTCCCAAAATTTCGCCGGATTTGGGAAATCAATGAAGGGAGAAAAGTCGAGAAAAGTGGTTCCACGACGAGACACTGGATCAGCCTGCCATCGAGAGGCGATCGTTGATTTTCTGCACGCAAACACGCAGCGTCGATTCTTACGTTCCCGTTGATACGGAGCAACGCTCGCTCGCTCCTCTTATCGTCAGAAGTCACACGATAAACCCGTTGACGTTTATTCTCCAAATATACACGCGCGGCTCTGATTGTCGTTGCCGCGAATTGTGATGAATACCGAATCACCGATTTGTTTTCTCTCTTTTTCTCTTTCTCTTTCTTTTTTTCTTTCGTCTTCAGGAAATCGGAAGGGGCAGAGAATACTTGTTCCGATTCGATGGATTTCAATTGTTAGCTAATAGAATTTTATACAATTTCGCGGATCTCAAATCGTAACATCGACGAAGCCCGTTCGGCCGCGTGTTTTATCGCGCGTTTAATAATTGTATGCAAATGGGAGCACAAGTCAGAAGCGAGTTCGATAAGTTTCTACTGTGCGCAGCTGGTTTAAAGTCGATCGAATATAAAAGAAGACGACGCGAGAGAGGAAAGGAGGATAACAGGATTATATTCGCGTCGATTGAAAAGTTGAACGTGGGACAAGTACCTCTGAAATAAGCAAAGTTCCACAGACCGATCATGTGTAGTCCTGCTGGTCCAAGTCGGGGAGCCGGGTTAGCGGAGCTAAACGAGAACCAATCGTGTTATTCGCCGCGATTGACTTTATACTGTCCAATAACGATCCGGGATCACCAACCGATGGCGATATCCTCGTCATGTCAACCGGCGAAAATGATCCTGTTTCGATGACGACGCCAAAGAGGAATATCGCGATAAACCTACAGCAGAGATAACGTTCGCTCATGCCACGCTCGATAGCTTTCTCTCTCTCTCTCTTTCTCCCACCTTTTATTTCTCTCTCTTTCTCTCTCTCTTCGTTCGTTCGTATTTTTTTTCTCTACCTCTTCGTTGTATTTTTTTTTTCGCGAAACTAGATTACAATTCGACGCTTCATAGATCGAATGGAGGGAGCGAACGAAGAGAATTACCGGTCACGAGAAGGTTTTATCGAGAAGGTTTTATCGAGAAGGTTGTTTCGAGAAGGTTGTTTCGAGACTCCTTGTAGTCAGATGCACCACGCACTATCCTCGTCTCCTCGAAAACATTAAATGTCCAACGATCGACACCGGCGGAGTTAAGTAGACGATTAATACTCGCTGGAACAAGTATCTCCGCGCGAAAGTCAGATTTTAGACGGTACGAAACTTTGCGCGTATATCCCAAAGACGAAACGATCCACGAGATCACCGAGTACAATGCCTCGCTTCGAAACGTTCATCGCTACGAAATACAAGCTGGAAACTCCCGGTTGGACATTTAACGCGAACACGAGACCCGAGGTAGCGTAAGCGCAACACGATATTCAAACGACGTGGAGCGCGCTTCCTCGTCGTCGGCGTCGTTCAATCGAACAGCGACAAGAACACTCGAACAACCGCGATGAAACAGAACTCTCTTTCTCAACGTACTACGAGGATCGTCCATTTCCACGAGCGTTGTTCGCTGGCACACGATCGACCGGCGGCGTTCGATGAACAACTGATCACTGATTTCGTTCACGTATCGCGCAGTCGATGCAAACGAACCGATCCAAACACCCGCACGACCAAACATATCGACGTCGACCGGCATTCGATCACGTTAAACATCGCGACTCTACCGCGTATACACAAGAAAACGCACGAGAGAACGTTTAAGTAGAATGAGACGTTCGGAACCGTCTCACGGGCACCACGGTCGCGAATCTCGTACGATCATCGCTGGCTGAGATCTCACGAGGGCCGTTCTCTCTCGGTCACGAGCACCGCGATCATCGCGCAATTTCTCTCCTCCCGTCAGCAATGTTCACCTTGACCAGGCCCGGTAGCGATCGGTCGGACCAGACAACGAGTCCGCGTGTATATGTGTGTGTGTGGGTGGGTGTATGTATGCACGTGTGTATGTGTGTGTGTGTGTGTGTGTGTATACACCAAGGGGGCGACGATCAACGTGACACACGAAAACGAAACGGAACACGGACTCTCGGTAACAAACCACGATCAGAACGATCAGCATCCGAAGGACTCTGCGCCGCGCGGCTCGAGATCGTCCAAGCACCACGAAACCAGTACCCTCGAAAACTGATTGCTCCCGGAGAGAGCGTGTTTCGTCACTCTGTACTGGCGAGACGATAATTTCAGAGGCGATTAGATGACCCAACACCGACGATAGTGTAACGAGACCGTATTTTGCGGATCAGCACGCTCTCTCTTCCTCGCTCGCTCTTATGCCACGATCTCTAACTCTTTCGCTCGCACACGTTTCGTCTCTTTCTTTCCGTCTCTATCTCCCTACCAACTTCCCTACGCCTCTCGCTTGCTCTTCCTCCCGATTTCCCCCCTCCCCCTCTCTCCTCGCACTCTTTCTCTCACACACTTTTTCCTTTCTCGGGTTTTGCAAATCGTCCAAGCGGACACGATCACACCGACGGATACCGAGATTCTTCACGGTTCTCCCGTTTCTTTCTTTTTTTTTTTCTTTTTTTAATTTCCCCTCCCCCCATGGTTTCTCCATTCTATTCTTCCTTTTATCTTTTTTTCTTTTCTCTTCGGAAGAGATCGTACCGTTCGCCGAGGTTTCTTCACGATTCCCCGACTGTGCCATCCCTTTCGTGTTCTAATACCGTTCGTATTTTTCTTTTTTCTTTTTCGTTTTCGGAACACTGTTCTCCACGAAGATGACCAACGTTGACGCGGTTTTCGCACACCGGGGGAAACGTGGATCGTTCGGCAGCGCGCTAACTCTCGTTCGTTCTCTCTCGACCTCAGCTATCGCAGTACTATTACTATAGGAGCACACACGAGTTTAGAAGCGGGCACGTGTCTAGCCGGCGGCGTGTTTTAATCGGTGTTGGAAGAGCACTTATCCGTTAGTAGGTGCCGGCACGGTAGTCTCTGTCTTTGTCCCGTGTGTACACGCCGCGATGTTTCTGTGTGCACGCGTGTGTATACATTGTATGGGGGAGTCGGTGGGATCACGAGGGAGAGGACAACGAGTTGGCGCGAGGTTCGGACAGAGATGGAAAACGCGTGTATGATGGTGTACGCGGGTGTAGAGGTACGTGTAGGTGTAGGATCGTGCAAGCTTGTTGCAGTGAGCCTGAGCGAGGGAAGGAGGGAGGGCGGGAAAATTCGAAACCGCGCGTATACAGCGCGCGCTCGCGATGACGTAGTTTTGGCAAAACGTGGACGACGCACAGGTGGCCAAACGATTCGATGCGTGTGATTTTTCGTTCACGGGAATGATGCGTGGTCGTAGTTAAATAAAACGACCGTGATCGATTATTTTTTTAGGGCCGGGGTAGAGAGGGTGGGGGAGGGACAGCGGCGGCGATTTCGATTCGTAGAATAATAGTATCCATAGATGACACACGATCGTGGTTGCTGGTACTCACCGGAGTTGTAATATTCCTTAAAGTAGCGTGTCGCCGCACGTTGGACGATCGAGTAATATAAGTTCACGTACGACGTCGACTGGTTCTGTGCGGAGAGCGCCATTTACACTGTTTTTTCGTCACGCGTTTTGTCACCGTGTACGTATATATATATATACACGTAATGTATATATATATGTGTATATATATATGTATATATAAATATATATCTTTTTCTTTTTTCTTTTCCCTCTATTCCTCCTTCCACGTCTTTTATGCGGACGATATTCACGTACACGTATACACGCGCGTGTCCGTCCCGCGTACGTACAGACGCGTGCACGTAGGTGGTTAGGTGTCGTATAGAACGTAATGTAGATTCGAAGCGCGCACGTTCGCGTGATCACGGCGGGCAAGATGTGACGTGACGAACGACAAACGCGCGAAACGTGTGTCCCGTCTGTGGCTCTCGTTCCTGTCGTTTTTTCCTCTCTTTTCTCTTCTTCCGTCTCCTCTGTCGTTCTTTTTCTCTACCACGTCGCGATCCCTCCGTTGTGACACGAGATCGTTTCCCGATGGTCGCGGCCGTGAAAAAAACTTCCCGGTACCAGGAGCCAGAAAAAAAAACGCAACTGTTAATTTTTCCTTCCTTTTTCTCTTTCCTCCGTTCTTTCGTTTTTTCTTTTCCCTCGTTCTTTTCGTTTTTCCCTTTCTTCGGTTCTGTTTTCCTTTGTCCCTTTTTCTCTCCTCCTCGACCGGTCCTCCCTTTCGATCACGTTTTTCCCGGTTACGGCCTTCAAGCAGCGAGACGGTCTCGCATGCCGGCTAGAGGCCCGCGACTTTGATCCTCGGCACACTCGCTTT